AAGGAAGAAACCGATGTTTATAGCGGAGGTAGGATGCATCGAAGATTTGAAATTCCTGATGTTGTTTCTTAGTGGTGGAGAACCATGTAATAATTTGTGTGGTCCGTGAGTGGTAGGTGTGGTTAGCGAGAAGCGGCTGACCACTTTGAATGCATTTTCCATTTAAGAACTGCCACTGCTTTGTGGCTGTGGAGTGAACACGAACTGATGCACACACGCGGACTCGTGCATTGCAATCACTTCAAACAAGTTGAATATTAAATAAAATATTTTATTTCATCAAATCAAAACAAATAAACAAAGTTCAATGAAATGATCCGGAAAACCAGAATGAAAGATCATTGCAACGGTGCAGTGTTCATATTTGCAACAATTTGTTTCCTACAACTAATATTATTAGAATTAAAATATTTCATTGATGAAAATTATCACAATAGAACAAAAATGAAAAAAATATTTGAGCGTGGTTCATTTCAAGATGAGACAATTATTTAAACGAGGTACACACATATTGAAATTTTTCTTTAGTTCATTTGCAGAAATTAATCAATCGTGGAAAGTCCAACCGAACAGAACCAACTTTTTACTCTGACATCTAATTTATTAAATGTATTTTTTGTGTTCCCGTGTTGAAAGAATGGAGAAACAACTTTCGATTGCCCTGTCGTTTCATTTTATTTATCACGTTGAATGACGGTTGAAAATGTGAGAGGGAAAAATAATCGTAATAATAAAATTCCATGCAAATGGTTGGAGTGAAAAACAAAATGAACAGATAGACTTGAAGGAAGGTCTGCTTACTTATACACGTCATGAACGATGACATTTATGATGATGATGACTGGTGGTGGGGGTAGTGATGATAATGATGATGATGACGATAATGGTGAGAAAGATGATGGTGTTAATAGAGATGATGAAATAAGAAAAAAGTGATGTTGACGATGAATTCGAAAAAGAGAATGTAGAGGGATATGATAATGATAAGAAAATATGTCATGCTATTAACAATTAAACAAAAAAAGATGATGATGACGACAATAATGAGTATGAACAGAAATAATAATGAGAGTTATAAAAAGATATTATTGATTATAAACATCTCGTGGACCAGGAACAACTGATGTCGAATGCTGGTTGAAACCATCGTCACGTGGTGACTGCAACAATGATGGTGATAATAATGATGATGGTGATAGTGATAATGGTGATGATATGATGAGCAGTGATCACGATGGGTATTATCACAATGATGAGAGGGAGAGAGAGTAGTGATGATGATAATGAAAATGGTGATAATGATGATGACGATGATGAGGTGACGATGATGAGATGGAGATTGATGTTGCAGTAGGCCCTTAATGAGCAACAGGTTTTAAATTGATTCGTTAGCTGGTTGAGGACCACTGGACGATCGTTGTTGTTATTGAGAGGAGTCGTTGAAGTCATCACATCTATCTGTTTATTTATTTTTATTTATTCACTTATTTATTAAAGAATTGGGAGGCCAGAAGTTTTTAATAACTTGTACGGACTCCGTATGTCCATAAAACAATATACATACATTTACATACTCGTACATATAATCATGAAGTATAAATAGCATATTAAAAACAGAATACAGAAATGTGTATCAGTGACATAATAAAATGAAATAAATTAACAAAGAAGTCTTGCTTAGTGAAAATGAGCAATAGAATATACATTATAGATTGACTGCAGCAAGAAAAGGATAAAATACTGAAAGTATATAACCGAAAAGTGGTAAAATGAAAATCAATGTTAACAAATTATGAAATTAAGTGGGAGATAATTCAATTGAAGCAATAACAGCAATGGGAATAATACAAATAAAATGATTAGAATGGAAATAATACATACAAGGTGATTAAAAGATAGATAAAAAAAGAAGAGACATATAAATAATTATGTATACATATGCACGTGCATGCATGCAGATAGATTTAAAATATAAATGACTGAAGAGGCTAAAGTGATAAAGTAGTAGAAACGAAAAACACATTTAGACAAAAAATAATAGAGAGAGTAGTTAATCAAAAAAAAGTCATGCTAAAAAATTAAAAATGCTGGATTTAAAAAAAATGTTTAGGAACTAATAGACCTAGTGTTTGTAGGTAGTTTATTCCATAACTTCATCATTTTAATTAATGGACTATTATAATAACAATAAGTTTGAGGAGTAGAGATGTAAAAGTGAGAAAAGTGTCGTTAACTCTTGGAAAGAATGAACAGGAATCTTAGCTATGACAAAGTATCGGCTTATACTATCAAATTTCCAAACATTATAAATAATGTTTTTAAGAAAGATTTTTGGGGCTTAATAATTAAAGATAGATGAGAGGCAGTTGCAAAGTAGCTTTATGATGTGATTGGATAGTTTAGACATAAGTTTATAAAAAATTCCAAGAGTTTTAGTAAGTTTGTTTGATAAAAATTGGGTATGTGCCAACCAAGAAAGATCAGAAGTCATGGTTAGTCTAAAGAAGTTTTTACAGGAAAATCTTTGAAAACTGAGTTATGAACCTCTAAAGAAAAATTAGATTAGTAACTATCTTGGGACCGAAAAGAATGCAGCAGGATTTTGGTATTTATATAGAAATTATTAACTCTAATCCAGTTAAGTACTTTTTTTAATTCAGGTTTAATCTGATCAATTAGAGAGTCAATATTCTTACCACTAAAAAGAATTATTGTGTCGTCAGCAAAGAGTATAAATTTTAGGATAGGTGACAAATTAGAAATGCCAGCAACAGCTATACAAGAGTCTGAAATTATCCTACCGACTAATTCATCTACGGATGCCCCTGATATCTGCGACGCACGTGTTAAAAGACTTACGACTTTGAAAGAATCTGGGGCCTAAGATGACCTTAAAACGGACCTTCAGGATCCTAACCTTAACTCTAAATCTATAAACGTACATGACGATGATAATGATGATGATATATGATGTCATGATAGATATGTGTGTTGTGTATGTTTGTATGATCACCACAAATACCACAATATATATCTAGTTGTTAGTTTGATTATTTTTTTTAAGTATATATTTCATGGATTTTGACCGAGTATTAGTTTCTTTTTTTTATTTTTCATATTCCTTTATGTCTAGTTAATATAAAATCGCTTTTGTTTCAAACAGTCAATCGCAATTAAAAATGATTAATTTCATAAAAAAATTTTCTTCAAATTGCAATCTTAATCATCATCTCAATTACGTATCCATGTTTATTTTTGTTAGACTTTCTGTACTATCATTTTGTATTCTATTTTTCATTTTTATGTTTCTGGGTCAGTGAGAGTGCTAATGCAATTTTTTTAAAACTTCACCGTCTCCCGACCTTTGTTGGGTGAAATAATTTTGAAACTTGAATTATGTGAAGTTCAACAAGTCTTTAAAATTATTAGACTGTTGACTACTTACTGTTACTATACAATTGAATAAAGGACTCGCGAGGACACTCGTCGGACAAGAGTCAGCGTGTACATGACGAGGGCGTATGAATGGACAAGCGGGTATAGTCATTATATGATGAATATAACATGAGAAAGTATTTGCGTGTGTATGTCTTCATGCGCTCGACAGATTATTCTGTGGTTCGAAATGTTTTTTTGCTTCCTGTAAATTCGTCAACGTGCCCTATTTTAAAGCTATAAAAAATATTACAAAAATAATATATTCCATATATAAGGATTTATTTTCAAAAATTCACAAGATGGCGTGACCGAAAAGACGAGGCCACACAGAACAGGAATAAAAACTCGGTGACATGACTTGAAAGTTTATAGGAACTTCGACTTGGCTTGACCGACATGATTACTTAAAAATCTATTGCAATATATTGTACTGCTGTCCATGGACAACAAAGTAGGACACTTTTTAAACCACTAGCCCTGGCCTGGTCGTGCCGGCACAGCTGTCTGAAATAAAATTGAAATCGCACTAAATTTGTTCATTCAACTCCGTTGAGGAAAATACAAAACAACTGGCAGTAATGTTTTAGTTACACGATAACAGTTTACTACTTTGAATGTTTGTTTTCAACCATGTTTGCATTGGTGGTAATAGTAATAGTTACATTATTTGACCAACGGTGATGGTAGTAGTATCGCTTGAAAGACTGACGTCGAGGTTAAACTAATTGGCATATAAAAATGAAAGGAAAATGATAGATAAGGAGGAAAAAGTTTGCTGATAATACATCAAAAATAATGCATCAATGCACATAAACAGACATGCATGCGTGTGGAGTATATTGTACTACATGTCTGTTCTTCAAAATTTTTTATCAAGTATCGTCTTCATAACAACCATGAACACAATTTATTGAGATGTATTACGATGTTGCTACAACGATAATATGCTTAAGCATGTACAAATGTATATGTTCCTACATTCCAAAATAAACTATGTTCTTATACACAAGTGTGTTTATTCTAAGTAAACTACGCGCATACAAATATATGTCATAATATGTATGTCGTATGCACGCGTACATTCTAATTAAACTATATCGATCAACATAAGTATGTGCACATGTACGCAATTTACATACACTCTAAGTAAACAACGCTCATCTATGTTTTTGTGTGTTTATTTGTATCTCTAATAGTGATTTCTCTTTGTGTGCTCTTTTTCTGTGGAACAACTTGCTCTCTTCTGCCAGAGAACATTTGTCACCAAACCTACGTAAACTCTACTTGCTTCGTCATGCATTTGGCTGCAGTATCTGTCGATGGCAACTCATCCTGAGCGCTTCTGGCGTTATGCGTGGGGCGCTGTGGGAATTGCACAGCGTCATTAAAATTAAAAGTTAATTATAAGATTATGGATGGTGGTGCATGACAAAGTTTTGTGTGCTAGCAACAAATGGTGCAACTTATAAAACAACGTTCAATAGCCAACAACTTTTCATTAAAACAAAAGCCTGCCGCGTTCATGAAATTTAAAATATCCTACACCCATTCAAAAATATTTATTATTGTTCGTTCTGTTTTAACGGCATCGCAGTTCCCAGAATGCTGCCGTGTTGTGCCTTGTTCAAACCAGCATGACCTGTTTGTTCATGGTTATAAACAGTAAAACGTGAATGTTTTACTATTGTGGGTAGCTCTATTATTATAATTATTGTTTATCTATCTACTCATTATTCATTCATATTATCATCAAATATTATCATCATCATTCATTATTATCAGGCAATAATATTCATTTTTGCTTTTAAAATTTTGTTTATACGTTTTGACTTACATATACCAAAACCACCGCCCCAGAAAGAAAATACTCCAAGCGAGCCCCCTCGAGTCACCAGCTCAAAACCAAACTCAGACTCCAGTAAAATCACAACCTGGAAATTTGCAACATTTACAGACCGACATTATCCAAGCCGACGGAGTTTAAAGGGGCTCTGAACTGGTAGCACCGACGCAGACACACCAACCGACCGGCAAACCCACCGACCAACCGACGCCTCCCATTGTGTATACACCCGAAATCGTAAAATATTTAATTTCAGTTTTGCATGTGAACGTACTAAGAATTAACAAATAGGTAATGTAGTTATAGTCACGTATGTAAAGATAGTACGTGTAACGTGAAATTTGTCGACTGCAGGCAGGGCTGGCCAGAAGGTACCTCACATATGTGCCCATCTCTCACCACGACCTGCGTTTGTGGTTGAATTCAATGTGCTCGTGTGAGCTACCTCAAATAGACGTCATTTTTGGCATTATTGTCTACTGAGATAGTAAAGGTTCCAAGTTGGTGTTTAAAATCGAACTACAGATGCTAGACGCCTAGAACGAGTTAGGTGTTCGCAATGATGCACCCGTGGTAAGAGACGGTGTACTTTACGTACACGCAGTGGCCAACCGTATTGATGAATTTGTACCCTTGCAATCGATAAATTCGTACCCTCGCATATAAATACGGTATATATGTTCAGATCATCTTTAACTTATCAGGTGATCAAACTCTACATAAATGAATTCGCCAGAAAAATATAGAAATCCAACTCTTGAATGTTAATGTTAACTGTATATAACTGTACGTAAACATGAGCACATAGGGCACACACACACACACACACACGAACACACACATGCACACACAGGCACATTTGTCCCAGTAAATATTGATACTGCATCGGTTAAGAATCAAGCCAATTGTTGCAGCCGTTGTGTTTAATTAATGATATCAACATGAAAGCCAGTGCTTTAATTTTTTTGTAAATACACTTTGTTATAATCATGAAAACAGAATGGATCAAAACACATAGACATAATTTTGAAGAAAGTTGACAATGTTGTTAACAGTAGATTACATTGGCAATCACGAACCACGCCATTCAATCCAAGCGATCACTCACCACTTCTCTATCTGGCAAACAAATGTGAGCGCGTTCTATCCTGATATTGAAAGAAAGTCTGTAGAGGATTGCCTTCCTGATTGCAAACATCGCAT